GAGATGGGAGCTCACAGCCCTCGCACCCTGCTCACCTTGGCTACAGCAGGATGAGGAGATTCCTCTCTTCCTGACAGGAGAGGAATCCAGCAGAGCATCCCTCCTGCCCACGGCTGATCCATGGGTCTGTGCTGCCGCTGCAGACCTACGCTGCAAACTGCTTTGTCAGGGAATGTGTGGGGCTCACATCATGGAAAGCTTGCTTTAACATGGGAAGTTTAGCAAAGATTGGGAAATCGGAGATAGTTTTGGGTAAAGATAATTTTAAGCCTGGAGCTGAGCTTGTTGAACCAAGCCCAGCAGCCGTGAGGAGCAGCAGTCAATGAGAGCAGCCAGCTGCAGTGCAGTGAGTGGCTCATGGGCAGTGGAAGGTGTGTTCTGGATCACTCTGGGAGATTAAAAATGCCATGTGGCTCCATCACACCTCCAGGGACAGGGTGTCCTATGGATGTGTCTTTTCTGGTCTGTACTGCACAGTATCATACCCCACAGTGACTCAGGGTCATGAGTGCTTAGGAGGCAGTACATCCTTCTGAAGTGCTCCGTGGGATTTTTCCATTTGTTCTTACATTTCCTTCTGCTGGAGTCAGAAGTCCTTGGCCTTTTGCTTCTTGACTGCTGCTTGTAATTCAGCGAGTGGGTCTGGCACTCCTGAAGGGAGAGTGAGGGATAACAGATTGGAAAAAGCCTGTCCCTGAATCTCTTTGCAACCTGATATTCATGCAGGTTTATATTTGGGCAGGCTCAGGTGCTGACTGAGTAGGTCATTGCCAGTCTGTGTTAGTGAGGTCTGAGCTGGAGAGCCACTGGAGCTGCACACCCAGCTTGGCTCCAAGTGCCTGTGGATGCCCAGACATCTCATGGGCTGTGATGAGAACCAACAAAACCCACAAGAGCACCTGGTCATGATATGTTGGAACACATCCTCATTATTACGTTGCTGATAATTTTGCATTTTTGCCCATTTTCATTAGGCTGGATCTCACCAGTACCATGGGCAATTCCAGATTTCATACAATGCTTTCATTAACACAAAACCGTTCAGTCAGTGGCAGTTTTAGATCACTTTGGGAAATGATCTAAGTGTGGACAGATACCTAGGATAGGCAGAGGTGAATTCCTGGGAATGGGTGTTCAGCTAGGGCCAGCGTGAGTGTTGAGGAAGAAGACCAGATCTGGCCATTTCTGAGGTAGTCATGAGGAGTAAATCAGGCAGTAAAATGTAAGTGTTCCTTGACAGGAAATTTCACTGCAGCAAATTATCTAGGAGCACTTCAGGAGTGAGTGCATAGGAGAAGAGATCTCAGCATGACCTGGATAAAGAGCAAAGCTGGTATTGAAAACTCTGGCAGTTAGAGAAATACCAGGCAATGGAGCAGTTTGAGCATAGCTAAAAGATTTTTCTTTAAAGAGCAGAAGTGATTGGTTCTTACTCTCTTCCACAGAAGAGGAACTGTCATAATGAACAACTGCCATTGGCATCCATGCATGGAAAGAGGTGTGTGATCACTGTCAGGAGTTTTGGGGCACAGCCCACTGAAACCTCGCTGCCTGAGGCTGGGAAAGGTTGATAAAGCATTTTACAAAGTCCTGTGTGAGTGCCCTGGTCTCATAGGCCCAGAGAAGATTTGTCCCTTTGGAAGGTTTATGCCAGGAAATGAAGTACACAACCTGCCATGGTAGAGTAGCAAGGCAGCTGTTATTGTGAGCATCAAAGAGGTGGGAAAATGTTTTGTAAACCTGACCTGAAGAACAGGTTTAGCAAATGAGATCTCACCCCCAGTGAGGAGCTGACTGGCCACACCAGTGCCACAGGGTGTGGAGGGTTATGAACATCTGCCAGTGTGGCAACCCCAGCAGATACCTGGTGTAGAGAAGTGCATCCAAGCACCACCTCTGCCTTGTTCTGAGTGGGATGCTGGCATCTGTGCTGATAAGGATATTGCTAATGAGACAGAGAAGTAATTTTCATTTGCTTTGCTGCATTCAGTTCTAGTCCTGGCTCTCAGGAACCATGGTGTGTGTGACCTGCACGTATGAAGCATCATCTCCTTTTCTTATCTATTTAATCTGTGTTCTTTGGTTGCTGCTAAAGCAACTTTAAAAATGTTTAAAAGTAATTAAATAGGCTCACTAGTGTGAGGATTACTTATCAGCTCAAAAATGTGTTTTTAAATTAAATCCAAGGATGTGTTTCCTTGGCTTTGTGTGGATTTTACCCTGCCAGGCAGGTGGGCACCCACAGTCAGTTAGAAATCAGATTGGAATTTCAGTGCACAAAGCCTGATTCATAATCTGTGTACCCTTATACTTTCATCAAATTGAGATGATGTCTGGGGATAAGCACTGGATGCAGTGTTGGATGCAGATGATACAAAGAGCTCATTGGTGAGCAAGTTAACACAACATTAACAAAGGAATTGGTGTAGACTTCACTGTTCTTTATGTTCATTAATTTTATTTGGCTGTTGTCTGTTTGTATCCTTGGAGCTTTTTAGTTCCTTGTGGAAAATATACAATCATAATTTAGTTTATTTCTTCAGAAGTGTCCAGCTTAAACAGTGAGTTAATTCAGTAGAGGTGCATGACATATAGTTTTATATAAATGTATAAGCACCAACACAGAATACAGACTATATACACCACATAAGCAACATAGACAGTGCAAAACGTTGTCTTCCATCAATATTCTGATAATTTGTATCTTCTAGATACACCAATTTTATTCAGGAATGTGCTTTAGGGGCATAGGGAAAAAATTAATGCAAAAGAAATAGAGACACAAATATACCCCAAAATCTTCCTAGTGATATCTACACAGATTTTTTTTTAGGGTGCCACCTCCTCACTGCTGTTCCCTGAAGCACAAGAGCATTGGTGAAAGTTGCATGGGCTCTGTGTCTGAGCCCAGCTGGGGGTTATCAGTTCAGAGGGTGAGAAGAGCTGTGCTGGAAAATGCTGTGATGTTTAAGCCAGTACTTCAACAGTGAAAGGATCATTTTCCATGTGCCATTTCCAAGAGCTGGAGCCTGGAGCTCTGTCTGCCCTGCTGTGTTCCCCAGGGTGCTGCCTGTCTCTGCTGGAGGCAGCCCGTGGGGTCTTGGTGGGCAGCTGGGTCGGGGATTTCTGCTGTGTCTCCACTGCTGGAAGGATTTCTTGTGACTCTACTAGCCCAGCCTGAGTTAGGACAGTGTGACCTGGCCCTCCCTCGCCCTTTGGGATACCTGCTGGGAATGACCCTTAGCCACAATGGACTGCATTGTGTGCAGCCCCTCGCTGTGCTTGGAGGACACTGCATCAAAGGGAGACACCTTGATTTATTTTTCCCCTCCAGGTAATATTTGAATACTTAAGAAGAGCAGCAAAATCCTTCCTGCCTCTTCCCTGCTGACCTTACTGGATGGCTCCCACCCAAGGACTTGCATAAATGCCCCTGTCCCAGCCCGGGTGAGCTGGTAACATGGATTTCACTGGTGCATATGGAGCGACAGATTGCCTCTCCTGGAGTGCATTTCCATCTGTTGCAAAATTACAAATTAATTTGCTGAATTTTTTTGAGCTCTTTGATCAAGGTTACCTTATCTATGCCGTAACTCCTCACAAAACCTCAGCACAGTAATTCTGGCTTGTTAGTTACACTGCTGTTACCTATGGAGTATCATGCAGCATTCTTTACAGCTATATACAAGCATCCTTAGCAACACTTTTTTATCTTTGGAGAAATTTGGCTTTTTTTCCCCTTGAAAAAATACTGGATGCTGCTTCTTCCTTATGGTTTTAACCATAACCTGTATAGAAAGCTTCACAGTTGGAAAGGCCTTTAATAGATCCCTTCAAATCTTGTTTGACCCAAAGTGACAATATGCACTGGATTTCTGAAATAAAATCATGTTTAGAATAAGCATATGAGCAAGGGCCATAAAAACTACAGCAGAGGCAGTGCCATGAGATGGGGTGCTCAAGGATTGAAGCTGAGTTAAGGGCTTTTATAGTCCAGTCTGTCACAAAAGCTCCATACCTGTATCACTGCTCTTGACATGTGATGTGGCTCAGATGTTTTAGTCAAGCTGCCAGGTCAAGCAACAGCCCTCTGAAATGAAACATCTCACGGGACCAGGAGACTAGAGAATGGATTAGTAACTTTTTTATAGATATGTATAAATGCTCAGTTTCCCTTAAGTTACATATAGATCCACTGAAGATGTGGATAATAAATGTTGATTAACCAGGTATTACCTGCCCAGCTGACGAGGTCTGCTGAGGCTGTTCAAATAGCCAGTGTGCAAAGGCAGTCAGTGAGTTATGTTGTTCAGGCTTTGTATCAGGGTTGATGTGCGAAGCAAGAAGCTGAGATATTCCTGAAAACTGCCAGCTCTAGATATGGATATCCCAGGGCACAGGTGCCCCTTAAGTGTGACAGGCTCTGTCCATACATGGTGCAAATGCACCATCCACCTCATCTTGGCTATACCAGCAGCAAGAAGAGTTTTAGCTTTTTAAAGTGGCAACTACAATGAGGCAGCTCTGACCTCTGGAAGAAGGGATGAAAAGCACTGACAAGTAATTTTGCATCAGGACCTACATGCCCTGTACCCACTGGTGCCCACAGGTACCAGCTGCATGTGGGGTGGTTAAACAGGACTGCTGGCACTGGTGGGACATGACCACATCACCCTCTTTCCATCACAGGGCATTTCCTGTGGGTCCCCGTGGTAGCACATGCCCAGCTGCTGGGTGAGGGTATGAAGCTCAGTAGTGCAGGGGCAAGAAGCAATTTGTCTGCCTGCTGTGTCCACAGGGATCTGCTGCCTGGTCACTGCACACTTCACACCCGTGCTGGGAACACCCAGCCTTTGCTTTCTGCACACAGAATTTGCCTTCCACCTGGGGAGTTGATGGAACAGCCCAATGTGTTTTCTGCCTGAGCATGGAACTGCCTAAAAAAACACTTTCAAATGGCTGAAATGCCATTTAAAGGTGCTTGTGAAGTACAGCTGCACCTGCCTGTGCTGCACTGGTAAGGGCACACAAAGGTTGGTTTTTCTGATAGTACAGGTGTGCTGCTGAGGCACACAGCCTCAGCCATGCTTGACTGGCACACTGGTGCAAAGCCAGAGACCTTGGGAAAGCCATTATGGTGACCTGGGCTGCTCTCAGTAATACACAGGTTGTCCCTTTTAGTTACCAGGTTTCTAGGAGGCTCTCCAGAGCTGCAGCTGCCCTCGTCCCCTTGTGCCTGGCAAACCTGCCTCCAGGAAGAAGCAGGAGTCCCCCAAATCTGTTCCTACACAGACTTCCCTGTTTGAAATATTCACTGTGTCTCTAGAGTTAACCAAGAGTTAGCTGGTGGTTAGAGTGCACCCACAGTCTGGGGGGAAAATAACACCATTCTCTCTGCATCCACTTGTGTGAGTACTTTGGTGAATACTGCACTTTTTCCACAGTGATTCCCTCCTGGTCTGGGAAAACCTTTTCTGTGCCTTCTACTGGAGCAAGTGTTAATAACTGCAAGTAGCCCTGATGGTGTGGCTGGGAATGTCCACCATGTACAGAGATTTCAGTGGGGGTGTTGGCGCTGGCCGTGGTAGGATCCCATTGGGTTTTGGCAGAAGCTATGCTGCTTTCTCATCCCCCGTCACCGTTGATGTTCTTCTCAGGTTTTCCTTGACTTTAATGAATTCTGGTGCATGGTCTTCCTGCTTCTCCTGCTCTTTCTCCAGCTGTAAGAAAGAATTCACTGTGCACATGAAAGGACAAAAAGGCATCAGCTAAAACAGAAAGCTTCATTATTGCTTGGTCCAGTTATTATTGCCTGGTCCAGTTATTATTGCCCAAAGCTGAATGAGTGTGTAGTGCATGTGTTGTGGCTCTATTTTACAAGCCATCACACCAGACCTACATTCACCCTTAGTCTCCTTCTGTCCTGCTGAAACATTAATTTCTTTCCTCCAGGGAGGAACATTTCTATCAGAAAAACAGGGTAGGGCTTCACTTCATACCTGACATGGGAGAGGGAGGAAAAGGTTTGAATCCCTCCTAGCAAAGGAGGCCTGTGAGCTTGGGAAAGCTCTCAGCATTAGGTATTGTCTAAGGTGAGGTAAGTCATTGTACTGCCTTATTTTTACATGTGAAGTCTTCATGGATCCTCCCTAAAGCACCTCGTTTCACACTCCTTGTTCTCTGAGAGTGCCACGCTTGGATTTTCAAGTGATTTTCAAGCTTGATGGACACTGTTGTGTTGTTAATGAAACAAATTGGTTTCACCCATTTTCAGTGCAAATACTAGCAAGTAGGAGAGGCAATGATTTTATTCTTGGTGGTAAGGAGCCTGCTCACTGCTTGCACTGGTTTGTGTGAGAGGGTGGGCACAGAGCACCCGGGGCATGGCTATGCTGCTGTCAAGTGCACAGTGAATATTGCTTTCCCCAGGCAGAGTTGTGGCTAGGGTACATGCCAGGAAATGTTCCCCAAAACAGTTTGGGTAAGATTGCAGCAATGTTTCTGCCAGCACTCCTACAGCCTCTCAGCCTGCACTGCAGGGTCCTGAGCCCTCCTGTGGTGGGTGCTGCAACAGCCCCCCATGCAGTTTAGGGTGCTTTGAACTGGAAAAAAACCCAAGGACACTGTGTGGGACCCAGAGGAGACCCAGGGTGAGTGCTGTGTAATGGGGGTCTTGGGTGAAATGGTATAAACGTGGTGGATCCCACTATGAGGATGGGAGTGCTGCAGCTGTGTGGGGCAGCAGTGGAGGATGTACTCTGGCTCCTGTTTTATGGAGGGGTAGTAGTGCTATACCTTGGGTCGAGCCTCAGCCCACCCATCGCCCCTGTGCTATGTGTTGGGTGGCTAGGATAACCCAAGGATGGCTGAAAGCTCAGTTCTACCTGATCCAGCCTCTGGTGCCTCTTTAATAACTCTTTTTCAAAAGGAGACTGCAATTTCTTTGCCTCTTCCTCTTCCTTCTTCTGTTTGATGAGCAGGTCTCGCCGTCGGTGCTCGAGCACTCGCTGCAGCTCTGGCTTGCTCTCCACACCCAAACCTCTGTGGATAAAAAGCAGGAAAATGAGGGCCAGAGCATCTACACCTGGGGTGTAACCACTGCCAGCCTGGCAACCCCAAAACTTGGTTTGGTTCTAAATGAAAACACTGGAGACCATGGGAGATCTACAAATCCATCCACAAGGTTTGAGAGTGTTTGATGGTGCCTTGGGCTACCTGCCTGGGCTGGGCACATGTTCCTGTTCGTGTATGGCACATTTGGTGCTTGAAGTTCTGCTGATGCAATCGCACTGGGGTACCACAGCTTTCTGTGTTGGGTGTGGAAACGGGACGTTCCTTAGGCTCCTGCTGTTCCTGGTTTTAACGGTGTCAGTTGTGGATTCAGCGGCATTGAGAACATGTGCAATAATGCCGATTTTTTTCCCACCAGCAGGGGTAGTCATTGGGCTGCAGGAATTGTCCTGGCAGCTCCTTCCCTCCCCGCGCATCCCATCTGAAGCTTTGAAGCTTTGCTTCATCTGAAGCGCTGCTGTGGAGCTGGGGGCTGGCGATCCCGCTGCTGACAGGAATAGTTTGGATCAAGAGACCAAAAAGAGCTCTGCTTTTCTCCTGGAAGCCGGAGGGTTTGCGGATGGCGCAGTTGCCTGACTCCCCTTTGGCCACCTGGTGCATCTCAGGTGAGCCCCTGTTCTGTGAGGGGATCACAGGAAAGGAGACACAGCACGGCCATGCAGGCAAGGCATAAATAAAGTGTGGTAAAGAGATGGAAGGCGTTCCCTGAACAAATTTCAGAAACCTCACACTTTGGATATTGCCACACGTGAAGTAGTTCTGGATGGTGTTTGGTGTTGCTGTGTGTGCAGGTCTGTGTTGAGAGAGGAAGGGATCTCCCCATGCCTGTGCCAAGGGCTTGCCCAGGGTGTCCTGGGTTGGGGAGTGCTGTTAATGTAAAGCTCCTCCAAAGGCTGGTTGGTTTGGCCAAGGTTGTTTGAAAGTAGAAACATCAAACCCTGTGGGCTATGGATTTCTTGGCAGGGCGGCAGGTGCTGAGGTGGTAGCTCACATCACGAGAAGCTGAATTGGCAGGAAGGAGAGAGGAACCACCCTCTCTGCACTGTCACAGCATGGCTGAGGCCAGTGTCTGCATCCTTCCAGTACCACTTTTAATGATTACTTCCTATTGTAATTTGGGGGGTTTTTTTGTGCTTAATGACAGAACAAAGTTCACAGCAACATCAGTGAAGGCAGGCATAGCCTTGGCCCCAGAGCTTTCATGACGGTTTTTGAATCAGGAACAACTCAGATGATGCAAAATTGCTTTTCCCAAGGCTTGAGAGAAGGAAAACCTGCCTTGGCTTGCTGGAGACACAGCTTGCAATGTTGCCTGTAGATTTGTTACTATTCTTTAATTTAATCAGCCTGTGTTAGTGCCCAGAGGTGTTGAGTAAGATAAGGATTTTGTTACACAAGCTGCTGATTTCAGTTGCTTCTCCCTGCTGCTTGAGGGGAAAAAACCAACCAAAGCAGAAACAAGAGCAAGTCGTAATTCCTCCTCTCCCTCTTTCTCCCCTCTCTCCCTCTATGGTAATATTTAGCAGGAAACAAAACTGGTGGATTTGAGAGTGACAAGAAACCAGAAACAATGGATTACTTTTTGCAGTAGGGTTTGTTTCATGTATTTGCTGAAAAATACTTGGGAGGTCAGAGCCAAAAGAGGTTTAAACTGATGCTTGAGAGGGGTCAATGAGCAGGTGGTGCAGAATGTCTGCAGTGGAGCTGCCTCCTGCCAGTACCTGGTGACACACGTGGATGTGACACAGTGGCAGGCACAGAACTGGAACACAGAGATGATGTACTTCGTGTTTCCCAGTGTGAAGTGCAGCTCTGGTGCTGCAGGGTCTGCACCTCCTTCATTGCCACTCCTCTCTGCTGCTTCCATCGCAGGGGTTTCTTGTTCCTTTGTTCCATCATGGTTAGACTGGAATAATGTTCTGTGAGATCAGAGACAGAGCTGGTGGGTGACCCTTTAAACTGAACAGTATCACTAGGGAGGAGATGGTCACTCTCAAGCCAGAGATTTTTAAAAATATCTGGCTGGTATAGTGACATGTGCCTTGATGCCAGAGAAAGGTCCCTGTAATCCTTCTGATTCTGGGAAAATCAAATCAAACCCAAGCCCAGCCAGTGCCAGTATTGATTAATGCACCCTGCTGGCTGGCTTGATTGTTCACTGAATTAATATACGTGTCTGGTTCTTGTGATGACTGCAGTCCTCTAGAACAGAGGCTGTGCTCCTTTTAATTAGGCAGCCAAAGAGTTATTGTGTCAGAGTATTTCAGGGTGTTCAGTAAATGTCAGTATAAAGCCAGCAGATTTTTTGCTATGCTTAAAAGCCTCTGAGCACAATATGATTTTATTGCATTGATGTTCAGACAGTTGCTGCAATGGAATGATGTAGCTGTAGGTTCTTGATCATTGGTATGGTTTTCCTGATTTTTTTATCTGTACCCCCAAAGAGTTAAATTGGGGTGATGGAGTAGGAAGTCAGGAATATGAATTCTAGCCTGTCTTTACCCATTTGATATTTAGGGAGTCAGTGAGTAGCCTTTTACAGATTATCTCACCCCACTGCTACCTCAGCTTTCAATGGCTGCATCCAGCCTGCACCTCTTCCTGCTTCTGGATTGACCTTCAACTGCACAGGAATGCTGTACATTCCTGGGGACTTGGCAGATCAGTGATGCAGACAGAAAAAAACAGAAAACCTCCAAGGGACACCAAAAAAGGGCTGTAGGGATGCCTTGCATCTTCCAGTGCTTGTGACTCTAAAAAATGTCAGCCAACACTTCAAGATGGCAGAGCAGGGGCTTTTTGTTCTGCTTTATTTTTTTAAAAGAAAAGCATACAGCAAAAGAGGAGAGGATGCTGTGTTTGTTTGCAAGTGAGGGGATTTATCCTGCCTTTTCAGCTTGCAGTCTGTGCCTGGCACCTGGGCCCCAGCTCCTGAGCTCTGACAGCTCGGCACCTCTTGGACAGCTCCAGTGTCAGGCTGTGACCTCCTCTTACCTTTTGTGGTTCATCAGCAGCTCCCTGTGCAGCTCTTGATGGCTCTTCGAGGCTTTTACAGGATTTAGGAGCTTTTTAGGTTTGATGAGGTCTGGGTTTCCATCGATGTAGTCTGGGTGAGTCAGGATATTCCCACCATCTGGTCGCTCCCGCTGTATTTCCGTGTACATCGAAGCTGGAAGAAAAAAGGAGATGTTTGCATGAGAAGTCTCACTTTGCTTGGTGTGAGAACCCTGGGCAAGACAGAGGAGAGGAGCTGGTGCTTGTCCTGGCTGCTTGACACCCGTGTCATTGTCAGGGTGCACGTGCCTTCATGTCCTGGTGTGGGTTTTTTAGAAGTTTTAAAAAATACTCCCTTCACATTGTTGATGAGACACATATTAATTAGATCACTTAAATTACTTGCCAGCCACTCGCTTGCTCAGTGACTGCAGAATTTAGTGCCAAGGATTAATTAATGCAAGATAGGTCTAACTAAAACTGGAAGCAGCCATGGATGTAGACTGAGTTGAGCTGCTGCTTTGGGCATTCTGGATGAGGCCATTGGTCCCATAGCACAAGGGGATGCTGTGGGATTAAGGGGCTCCTGAAACACTGGCCTGAGGAAGTCCTGCTGTATCTGAAACCTCTTGTCAAGGTAAGATTTTGCTGATATCCTGCTGAACTATTCATCAGGATCTAGTCCAGTGCCAAGAAAAGCATCCTTCGCCCATGCAGTCTGTGATCATGCTGCAATAATTTGTATGTTCTGGATGTAAGAACAAGAGCCCACTGTTTTGGAAAGAATGGCAGCTTGGATTTCAGGCAAACCACAGGGCATGCTCACTGTTGGTGTTTCCCAATTCCTTTACATTTTCTCTTTACAAAAACCTCCTATACAAAGTGAGTGCAAAGCACAAGTTATAAGACAAACTGCATGTGGTGGGCTGGTCTTTAAATGAGGAGCACAGTAGGTCTGCCTCCAATTATTCAGTGTATGGTCTAATCAGAGGCTGAGAAAGAGCAATTTATTCTTGACTATTCACTTGAACAATTTGGAAGTTTACCAGAAGAACCAAAAAAGTCCCAGGAAAAGGGTGTAGGCAGCTTCATGTCCTTAGGTGTCTCATTATTAGGTATTTTTTGAGGACTACTGTGCAGTTATATGGGTTGATGGAGCTGGAAGAAAAACAGTTGTTCAGTAATGTTGCCTTTTTCTTATTTCAATCTCATGTATAAAAGAAATAAAACCTTTTTAAAAGAGAAATCAATAAAAAAAGCCAAGAGAAAGCAGGCTGGGTCATTCTTTCACAGTCAGTAAGCACTTAAAAATGTGAAGTGGATTGCAATCAAACAGAATTGTGTAAGGAATAATACTGCTGAAGAAAAGATTCAATATCAAACAACTTCTCATTGAATGTTAATGTGGCCAGTGCCCTACTGCTTTTGGAACAAAGGAAAACAAATCAGAGCCCATTACAGGAGTGTAATTGGGGTGAATAGTTTGGTACATATTTAAAGGGTGCTTGGAAGCTGGAACCAGTGATTTTTTTATCACATTATTTTCCACTAGGATAACACATCACTGCTGGCAGAAGGGAAGGTGGTGTGGTTTGATGTTTGGTGGCAAGTGCCAGGCTGACTCAAACCCTTGTGGAGCTGGACTCCCCAGGCTGAAACTGGGAGCTCATCCTTGCCTTCCAGAGAGATGCAGGGACTGAAGAGCAGGAAAGCGTTAAGGCAGTGCAATTTCATGGCTAATTTTTGTTAGATGAAAGCCAGGTTTTGAACAATGAGAAAACATATCAGATTTTCACTGGGGTAAAATGGTTTCATTTTTTTCTTGTACTTCTCTTTTTTTTTTTGCCTTTCTCCACAGAAGAGGCAGAAAAAAGACAAGGAAGGAAGGTACAAAAGCAAAGGTTTGTTTTGGCATGAATGAAATGGTTGAACTCCTATTTCAAATGGCAAAGCTATGTCTTCATTTTTCAAACAAAAAGGTCTCTCCATGAAGTAATGTCAATAAAATGCCAGGTGTTTTTAATGGAAACACTGTTTTTGGAAGCTGTGTTAATAGACTAGGCTCAATGTCCCCATGTATCCTACTGCCCTTTCCTGCTGTTCTTGTTTAGTCCAGAGCTGCTTCCAGTGACACAGATGCCCACACTTGCTTGTGTGTTGGTTCCAAACCCTGATGCATGTGAGGAGAAGGGCCATGTCCATTTTGGATTTGTTATCTTGAATCCACTTGACGTGCTCTGCTATGGGCTAATGCAGTGAGTAGCAAGTGTGGAAGGATTTTGCAGCCAACCAAGCCTGAAGGACCAGCCTCAGTATGTAAATGGCTGAAACTCAAGTGGCTTTGGCATTTTTCTCTGGACCAATTAGCTCTTGGGTCCTGTTGCTAAGCTGTGCTAGCTCTTGGGGCACTGGTGCAGCACTGTTGTTTATTAAATGCTGTTTTCCTGTGCCTCCATGATGTATGGTTTTCCTTTTGCAGCTTAGGAGTGGGAGTCCCTTCTTCCCTACCCCAAGATCCAGATCCTGGGAGATTTGGCTGGGCAGGCTTTCCCCACATCCACACAGGTCTAACACCCAGCAATGCACACTCATGGAATGGTGTTTAGTCTGGGCTTGTGGTGCTTCCCCACACCCAGGATGATCAGGGAAGGGCCTCCCTTCTGTCTTATGTGGCATTTTGAGGGAGCACCATGGTGAGCCTGGAGGTTTTGGATGGGCTAATGTTGTTATTTCCAGACTGCAGCAATCTAACATTGCATGACTGAGGCTTGCAAAGAAACAGCAATTTATCAACCTATTTACTGAAGGCAGATGGGGAACTTTTCCCTTAAACTAGTACAAATTAAGAAAAAAAACTGGGAAGGAAGGAGTGGGAGGAAGTGAAATGGACTGGAAGCTTTTCTGGCCAGGTTCTGTTAAACCAGCATGTGAAAGTTCTCATGAGAAGTGCAATTTGCCTCAATAAACTGCGGGGGCCAGGACACAGCAGGAACCTGTGCTTGGTTTTCATGGCACTAGAAGTGCCTAGGGGTGTGCAGATACCCAGCCTGGAGGGTTTGGCTTCCCGTGGGTGTCTGTACTGCTGCCTTGGGGACAAAGTCAGAGACCTGACTGGGACTGGAAGGAGCCTTGAACCTCTCTACAAGAAGAGCACTTTAAACCTTCAGATGCCCTCAGCCAGGAACAATTCAAGGAATGTCTTCATTTGCACTGAGCAGAAAAAGAAAAATGAGAATATAAAAATACTGGTGTGTCTGGAGCAGAGCTTGGGGTTATGCTGGGGGTAAGGATGGGGCATCCTTTCTCCTGCAGGCTGGAAAATAGGACCCAGTGCAAAATGTTTATTGGGGAGTAGATCTATCATCTCTGAGACCTGAGGTAATGCATGCCCATGTAACAGAGACAGAGTGCTATCAGGCTGCTTTTTGTCATTATTTATGGTGCTGGAGGTGTAAATCAAGCCAGGTCTCTGCAGTGGATTTACAGCAGGATGTCTGGTTTTGCATGATTCAGCTGCAGATCAATGAACAAGGCTCTGCTCTGGCACCTCCCTGGCCACCATCATAAATCAGCAAAAGGTGTTGGACATTTTTATTTTGTTCTTTGCAAGATACAAACAAAAAAAAATGTGGATGTTAATACCCTCTGCTGTTCCAAGGAAGACAGTGTGACCTTTTAAATAGGTCTGTTTTGGAGTGTTGCTAATAAAAAGTAACTGTTTGCTTCAACACACTCCAGCTTTTGCTTGCTTTTAGGTATTTTCCCTTTCCTAATTTCTAGAAGCTTGAGGCTTTCTAGGGAATGTGTGTTTCCAGCTGCTTTTCTGTTAGTAAAAAGCAAGACTGCCAGGATGAGGATGCCAGGGCCCCTGGCAGGTACTTGGACATAACACATGGAGTTCTCTCCTCTCTCAACCGTAATATGAAATGAGCCTCCAGTCTCTATTAGTTTTCTAGGAGACCACATAGGGAATTTTCAGTATCTTTGAGGTGGCCCAGAGACCAGACACCTGCCCCAAGGTGTGGGACTGACTGGAGAAGAAAAGTGACATTTTAGTATCTTGTTCTGTTCTGACTTAAAGCAAAGTCCAAATTCCTGTTGAGACCACCTGGAAATACTTATAAATCCCCCAGTTCCTGGGAGAGTTGCAATAAAATCATCACTTTCCAATCTTGGGACAAATTGTTTCCACTTCTGATTATGCTCAGCTGCAATCTTTTTGGGAAACAGGATATCAGGCAGCTTTGGTGCAGCACTAAATGCTTTTTAAAGCACGAATGCTGCAAATATATATTACATATGCTCTTCTAGGAGTGTAAAACAGGGTGTGCTGCTTGGGGTGCTGAGTGGTTTTTGTGCAGCCTCCCAGAACAAGGAGAAAGGTTTGAGCTTGCTCTTGAAGAGGAGGAGGGAGAGGACTGGCTCACGCCCAAGGACAGGCATTGGACATGAGGGTTTGGCTGGAGCTGGGCTTTGCTTCCTTTGGCAGCTGCTGCTTTTTGGTTTTCCCTCACAAGGAGGAGATGCCCTTCACATAGCATTTATTTAGGATTAAGCAACTTGTCTGCTGGTGGTGGATTGCTGTGTGAGCCCCTCTGTGTCAGGACTGTGTGCTGCTGCTGGCAGCCTGTGCTGCTGTCCTGCCGGGATGGAAATAATCCCCAGGAATGTTAAAGGGATTAACAGTCCTGGAAAGGGCAGGTAACCTGAGGGATGCAGCTCTGCCTACATTGCTACAGCTGTTCTTTACAAGGGAGAAACTGAACAGGTTGGAAATGGAGTTAATCCATAGCTGTTGGATTTAGAAAGCTGCAGAGTGGAGGTCTGGGGTCCTGCCCAGCACCTGCCAACCTGCACCTGCACAGAATGGAGGGTGCAGCAGGACAGCAGCTGCTTGTTGCAGGTTTTTATGTGAAATGCCTGACTTGTGTTTTGCCAAGGTCTCCTTGACATCCTGCCCCCTGTGACATCTTGATTTTCCCCTGCACGTCCCTCAGCCCTTTCCATGCCACCTGCATCCTTAAACTGCAAAGCTGTTAATGCTGCCTTGTGCAGCACAGGTCAGTGTTCAGCTTTAGCCGAAATCTAGAAGGCAAATGTAGTTCACAGTGTTTTATTTCTGCTGGCTGTGTCATTTGAAAACTGAACTAGAGCATTTCAAAAGAGTTTTGTCAATAGGGCCAGATGATGGCCAAACTGCTTTTGTTAAAAATATTGTATTGGTATTCATTTCTGGGCAGATAACTGGCCTTTGTGAAATGCCACCCATGTAAAAACAGTCAGAAGGCATTATTCTGGGAATGGGATCTGTATTCAGAGGACATTGCAGTCTGTAGCCTTGTGAGACTCTCATACTTGGTAGAAGGGCTAAGACTGGACAAAAACCTCAGGATGTCCAGGCTCAGAGCCCTAAATCTGGGTTTGTAAAACCACTGATCCAAGAGACCATTTCCTGAGCAGAAAGGATGACTTAAAACTGTGGTTACAGGAAAGAACCTCTGGTTTTCTGGATGCCCAAGATTTATTCATCAATGTGTCCTTTTAAAGAACCAAGAGATTAATGAAGGGCTGCTGACAGCAGCTGGTCATACACGTCCTGCAAGCCAGGCAGCTGCCAAACCAACACATCAGTGTGGGCCAGCAGAGCGAGTTTAAAGCTGTTTACACAAGTAACCTGAGCCGGGGGGGAGTAATGTGCGTTTCTGACACTTTTAACTGCAATTATGGAGGAAACCATCCCTTTTCTGAGCTTCAGACCCCAACAACATCCAGTCCCTGGAGAGCCCTCCTTTCCTCAGGGTGAGAATACTGTCCCTCACCCCTCTTGGGAAGGCTGAGAGCAGCAGAGCCTGTCCTCAGTCCTCACAAGTGTTTGCATGTGTAGGTGGAGGGTTTTGGGATCTTTAAACTGGCTTCTGTTACTTTTAAGCACTTGCATGCTCCTCTCTGTTAACCAAAACTTAGCTTTTTTTTCGTTTTAGAGTATGAACTTTCTGTCAATGCATTTCCAGTGTCTGAAGTGCAGCTGGAGTTTGGCTCTACAGCTTTTTTTGTGAGAGAATAATGGCAGAAAAGGTCATGCTATATGTTAAGTCCTGCAAAGAATGAAGCTGAAAGTTTTTCATTTGTTGGATTCTTCAATTGATGGCACTTGTTAATTTGCATGACTTTTCTAGTGTTAATTAACTGTATTTTAGAAATACAGAATAGCTGGTGTTGGAAAAATGAGAAAGAATTCCATGCCAGTCTCTGAAAGCCCCACAGCTGATCACAGCAGCTTTCAGGTGTGCACCTGCATTGCAGAGGATCTGCCAAGAGGACAGGAGGTTTGACCTCAGAGTCAGACACTTGCTTTAGGAAGCCCCTTTCTGCATGGTCAGTGGGTTCAGGGCAGAGAGAGGCACCCAGAAGTGGGTGCTGCTTGATGGGGAGGCTCAAATGCCCTTTGGGGGGTGAGTCCCCACAGCTGAGCCCACAAAATGTGCCTTATCACCCCAGTAATCTGTGTGCTGCTGTTACAACAACCTGGAACAAAATACCTGTAATTCACATTAGCCTAATGACTGCTGTGGCTTACTGCCCTGGTGATGGATGATGATGACGGTAATAATAATAATAATAATAATAATAATAATAATAATAATAATAATAATAATAATAATAATAATAATAATAATAATAATAATAATAATAATAATAATAATAATGTGAGCCCAAAATTGGCAGATGCTAAACATTACCCTCCCTGGGTGAGATGGCACCAACTCCCATCCTCACCGTGATTTTCCTCTCCTCTGGCTCCAGCTGTGCCAGCAGCTCGGGAGCAGCTCATACCGACGGAGCTGGCACGCTCCCCTGTGCTTGTCACCAGGCGACCGTACCTCTGATAAATGATCTGTGTGCCCTGGGAAGGAGTCAAAGAGCCTTTGTCTGCTTTTAATCTATAGTTTTAAATAATTAAGCAAGGCTAATTCTGGTATTTATAATGCAATAGGGTGAGTGTAACTCGATGTGGCTGCTGTGGGAAGCAGTTCCCAGCTATCAAGTGGCTGCCTCGGGGCAGCAGGCACTCACACCCCAGGTCCCCTTGCCTTCACTCAGCCCTGAAGGTCAGAAATAAATTCCATGGGGCCACAAAGTCAGAAAGGCAAAGGAAACCCTAATGAAAATGTAAATCAAGGCTGGGGGACACATCTCTGCAGCTGCCAGCACAGCTGCCACGTGTCACCACTGTTCTACCTGTGTGTCTCTGCTGAGCACATGCTGGGCACGGGCTGCTCACCTGTACAGCCAGTGCTCTCTCACTGTACAGCCAGTCTCCAAAGTTTGTCCCCAGTCCGCTTTCCCTTGCTGAGCCCCGTGACGGCACCGCAGCCCCAGGGCTGGGTCCCTCATTTGCACCAGCCCGGCAGCCCCTAAGGGAGCACAGAGCAGGTGCTGGGCTCAGCCCGGGCTGCTCACACATCACCCATCACCCCAAAGGTAAAGGACTCTGGATGTCACCATGGTCACCCCCTGAACTCTGCATTCATGCACATGGATTTAGAAGAGAGAAATTCCACCAGGTTTGAGGCTTGCTGAGCTGTCTGGGGTGTAGAAGTTACCAGCTGGAAATGCTTGTACCGTCAGGCAGCACTAAGTGCCTCTCTGCTGGCAGGCAGGACTGGGTGTGCTGGTTAATCATTTCATTTAATTACCTGTGATAAGCAAAGATAGCAAGGCTGGGATCTTAGTCTGTTAGCAATCACCAAAACGTCCCATGCCTTTTACAAGCAGCATGTGGAGCACTGGTTTAGTTTTGTTAGACAGTGGCAGATGCTTAGCAGTCCTTCCTGAAAATCATAAACTTAGTTTTAATACCTCACCAAATATTTGCTCCGTACATTTGCATACCAATGACAGAAATGCACATCAATCAGTAATGAATGCTTAAAGTTAGTTCAAAGGTAATCAGTAATGAATGCTTAAAGTTAGTTCAAAGGTATTTTGTTAAATACAGAAAATATTCCCCCATGTTGTTTGTAGGGATTGCATCAGCCCCCCATCCAGCCCAATGCCTCTCCAAGAAGAAGGTTTGAATTGCAGGATGGGTATTCTAAGGGAATTTATTGTGGGATATGGAAAGGCAGAAGCAGAAGGGCAGCTTCTCAACCAGTTACTGAAGTATTAAAGTAACATGATATCTCAAAATTAAAACCGGGTCCCAAGTCACCTGTGCATACAGCGCCGAGCAACCCCAGGGATGAAGCGGCCGGGATCCCCGGAGGAGCGGGGACCCCCGGGACAGCCTGGGGACCCAGTGCTTACCTGATTTCCGCAGCGAGGCCCTGGGGAGCCCGGGGGGCAGGTGCTGCCCTGTGCCCCACGACATGCGGCTGTGCTGGGGCTGCCGCCCGCCCGCACTCGTGCCCGGGTGACTTTTGGCCGGTCCAAGGAGGCTGCCGGGCTCCTGCCAGGTCCCTGCGGTGGCAGCAGGGACAGAGGATCACGTGGAGGTGGCTGTGCTCCGGCACTGCCTCCCTGCTGCTGCTGCCACCCCGCAGGGACCTCGCTGGGCTCCGCTGCCAGCAGCTGCTGGCCTTGCTGGCTCTTCAGTGCCGGTCCCTCTGCCGCCCTGGAAACTTCTTCCCTTCGCTCTTTGTTGCCTGATGATGTTTTCCCAGGATGGGTGAGCCAGATAATCGCTTTTTCTGCCCGGAGCAAGCAGCTCTGTGCGTGCCCAGGCACCCGAGCTGCCCGCTCGGCACAGCCACTGCTGCTGGTGGCCAGGTCGTGTCCCTGCTCCACGGAGGACGATTCCTCCTCAACGTGCCTTAACCACGCTCCTGGAGAAATCAGATCGCCCCAGAGGAAGCCGCACGCCCACTCTCTTTAGCAACCACTGCAACAGCCAAGCCGGCACCAGGGCAACCGCTCGAGCTATCGTGATTATTCCCTGGCATGTTGCAACACCCTGTCATCCTCCAACTGCTGCACCCCAGGGGTGAGGGCTGCCACAGGGAGAAGCAGCCCCTACAGAGGGCCACGAGTGTCCTGGTGGCATCAGAGCTCGTGTCTTCTTCTGCTGGGATGCAGCCCCTGCCTGAGCTGGGCTTCTTGTGTCCCCATCAGCACTGTGGCTGTGCCCTGTTGGCTGTCCCTGAATTGCCACAGCCTGGGACACCAAAGGCTGCAAAGGTGTGGGAAAAGAAGGGGTTAAACCATTCCAGCAACTCCTTTTGGCTCTTCAGTGGGTTCTATGGTCCAGTTCTGCCGAGGTTGCCCAGTGTCAGCCTGCAGTGTCCCAGTCCCAGGAGGGTCAGGGATGAAGCAAAACCATTTCCACACAAAAGAATGGGATAGGGAAAACTGGGGGGGCACCACTGTGGTGCCCAGTCACCTTCACACTCTGCAGCACCCAAGGGTGCATGGTCAAGCCATGTCCTAGCCTCACACTCCTGGCCCTGTGAAGGACTGGAGAAAGAAGCCAGGTTCTCATTGACACAGGTGTGCTCTTTGACTTGCTTTCACCTTTTCACAGTTTGCACCTCTCCACATCCCAACATTTTTCCTCATCCCAGCCATGTTTCCCAGCCAAGGGTTCAGCAGTTCCAGGTGTGAGCAGAAGCCCCAGTCCCTCCTAGTTTGTTTCCAAAGCTCTTTTAGAGTTTTTGGGCTGCTGGCACTCACCTGAACTGCCACTCCCTGGCTTCTTGCTTCCACCTGGACCCTTGGACTGAAGGGAATATTCTTTCTGGAAGAAAAGACAAGAGAGAAATTATAAAAGACTGTACAGGTATTGCTCATCACAGGAGATGAAACATAGGAGAAGTTGCTGGTCCTTTGCTACCAGAGACTAAATAAAATTAATATTATTTTAACCCCCCGAGCAGGATCTGTTCAGTTTAATTGACGTGGGGCCTCAGATGCAGGAGAGGAGAGGAGAGGCGGGTCCTTATTCCAGTGTGTGTGGTGTGTGCCTGTGAGTGTGGTCAGCCCAACCTGCCCAGCTGTGGATTACTCAAATATAGGGTTTGGAAGACCCCACGCAGCTTTTGCACCTAAACCAAGGCTGTGGTAAAGGAGAGGCCTTTAACTGGGGAGGTTGTGCAGTTTTTCAAGCTGTGACCTCACAGTCCATGTGTGCCCCACAAGATTTTCGTGGCCCAGCAGACTCCTCTCACATCACGCATTCTCCCAAGGCCTGGCCACTCATTGCACACTCCAAAAATACCATTTGGCTCAATTTGAATGGAAAAGGAAATGGATATACATCTGTGCTATTCCCCTTGGGTCACCTTTGAACAAGTTTTAGGTCTGTGAGCTCACTAGAGATATGTCAAAGGGGGAAAAGAGCATCAATCTAAACCTGTTTTGAGCTCCCAAGGAAGCATGGTTATGGCCGGTGGATGTGGGAATGGAAAAAGGCTGTGATCCATCAACACCTGCTTTTGACTGAATAAAATCAGGAAAAGGCCAGCTAAATTTTCTGGATATATTCCTAATGCACCCTAGTGCCTGACCAGCTGCACATCTAGTTTCCTCTCCTGCAAAGAGGAGGAGGAATTGGGTTTGTGGGGTGCTGTCCTGAACCAAGGGACTTTTGATGGCAAACCTCTTTTTCTGGGAGCTCCTTGCAGAACAGTTCTCTTTGCTATCTAAATTAGTAAGCAATCTCCCCCTGTGCTCCTGTGTCTTTGAGATTAACAAAAAGCCTTTGTATTGCCCCTGTAGCTCCCTGAAGGTTACTTTGTGAGGATGGTTGATGGCTGAGTGAGATTTATCTTGAGTGGCTCCTGCAGACAAGGTGTTGCATCATTCACCAGCTGCCCTGTGTGTCTCGGGAAGTGGCTTCGTGTCCTGGAAGAAGGTGACATGGGGAGCTCGTTCTAGCATCACCTATTGCATCTCCTGTACACAGTATGGCCCTGTGTTGTTGGGAAAGCTGCAGGGGTTTGCAGGGAGGATCTTTGGAGGTATCACCCCAGAGGAGCAAGCCCAGAGTGTCCCTGAGGCAGCAGCTGGCAGAAGACCCAGACAGTTCTGGCATGGCTCTGGGATAGCTCTGGAGCAGCTCTGGTACAGCTCTCTGACACGTGTGGCACAGAGGGCTCCTCCCTTGGGACTTGGGCTCTGCTGTGATGGGGGAATGACATGGTTTTCTCATTCAATGTGCACATAAAGAGAAAATATTGCTGTACTGAATGTGCACCTGGAGTGTCACTGGTGGGTGGCTGTATGGTTATAAATGAATACTGGGAACAGAAAAATGGTTCTGGAGGAGCCCACAGCCAGGTTCTTGTTACTAGAGCTGTTCATTAGATCAGCTAAATCAGACTTTTAGCTGCTGAGTTGCTGTGTTAGTGATGCTGGCTACTGGCTGTCGTCTCTTTAGCCAATTGCTGTGGCACCAGGAGCTTTCTTGTGTGGACATGTCTCCTGTGTCTCAAAACACCCCAGATGTGTCAAGTGAGTTCCCAACACCAACACTGGCCCTCCCTGGGTGTCAGTGCTGCCCACTGATGTGAGTGCAGTGACAGTGGGATAACGCTGTGTGCCCCCGAGGAGCCTGGGTGCAGCTGTGAGTGACAGAGCAGACAGCTCTGCCTGGATCTTTATTAAATCTCCACTCTCAGCTCGGGGTTGGGATGGCAGCACCACAGCCATGTCAGGCTCCCAGTCTGCAGGCAAAACTTGACTCTGCTGAAGGCACTGGGGCTGGACTTGAAGGCATTCCACCTCCTGCTGCAGGGGGGCCCTGGAGGCTGGTTAAACATTTGCTCTGCTGGATTAATTCTTGTTGTGGGCTGAGGTGCTGCTTGTGGTGGTAGGGACTGTCTGTGCAGCCCAGCCTTCCCTCCCAGGCTGTGGCACCAGCTCCCAGCACAAACTCTGTGCAGTCCCAGTACAACCTCAGAAGTCATGCTGGTTGCAGAGTGGTGGCGACCTTGGTGGTGGCAAAGCCAAAGCCAGGGGATGTGTAGGCTGGTCAGACCACGCTGGGTCCCTGGTACCTGTCACCTCTTGGCACAGGTTGGCTGGTTACACGCTCCTGCTAATCTCCATTAGTATATTTGCAGAGCAGGACAGCTTCTCCTTGCACCTCCCCAGCTCACCGGGGCAGTTAATGATTGCCCAGGTGAGGAAGACTTTTGCCTGCTCCCTATGGGACAAAGCAGGTTCTGGAACTCTGTCCCCAGCCAGCTGAGGGACAGGTATTATAGTCAGAGGGCTTAATTTGTCAGAGTGAGGGCTCAGATGGGAAATGCAGTAAATGGGCAGAAAATGCCCTTCTATTTCCATCTGAAAACCACTTCTGTGTGCAGTGTGGCTGCATCTTGCCGGCAGTAAGAAGTAGTAATAAAATCTAATATCAGATAGTAACACTCTGCCCCTCTGCAGCTAAGCAGGACAGTCCTGGAGACATTGCTGATGGGAGCAGGCAAGCTGCTCCTGCCTGGGATCCCCATCCGTGCTTCCACCATGACAGTGAGGACACCCACTGCTTCAGCTGGAATTAGCCTGGTGATTAAGTGGGTCAAATACCACAAAGCAGCACAAGATATAAATAGTAAGTAGTTCCATGCTTTGCATGCACTGTTCTGTGTTACTACCAAACATCCTGGGCATCACTATGTCCTGGCAGGACTGTTCCTGGTCTTGACTTGGATGCACAGCAAAGAGCTCCTGCAGCAAATGTCTGGAGGAAATATCACAGGCATGGGCTGCTTTCAACCACCAGCTGTAACCACTATCCTCCTCCCTGGCTTCCCCCCAGTGCTCCTACTGGAGCTTAAAGCCAGCCACCTTGTATGAACCATTAATCAGTGTTATTTGTCCCACGTGTGGATGCTGTAATGTTTACTTGTAGCACAACTGACAGTAATTTTGGACTCTGTGTTCTGATGAAAGCAGGGAAACGAGCCATCAGCATGGTCAGAGAAAGGAAAGGGTGATGAGAATGGCTTCAGGCAGGTTCAAATCAATACAGGTGCCATTAAGGGGCAGTATCAGAGCATCTGTATAGCAAAGTCTAAGCTAATGAATTAGGTAAGAAACTGCTGCAATCAGATCAGGGTGATAAAGAGGTATAAAGGTGGGTAAAATGCCACTCAGGCTGATGTGACTCTCCCACAGGTCTGGTTTGGGAGGGAGATATTAGCAGGGTTAGATGTTGCTCAGCCTGTTTAGGAGTAGATGGACTCTGAGAAAGGTATTTTATCTCTAAGGAGCTGTAGCAGATCCTGACACTGGTGTTAAATGAATTACCACATCCATGGATTAAAATTGCCTTATTGACGAACCCAGAGACTTCGAAAGGAATTGTCATGACCTGGAACAAGGTTCATCGATGGCTAGGAAATTGAAGCCAGCATTTCTGTGTGTGATTAAGTCACAAAACATGTGATTTAGAGGTTAACAAAACTGTTCTCTACCATTATTTTTCATTAGCCCCAGATACCTTTTGCTGTTCTCAGTACTCTGAATGAAAACATGTCATATATGCCCCTGGACTCTGAGATGCCATCTGAGCTGTTGCCCAAACCTCCTGTGTTATTGCTGAATTTTGGTCTATCCATGCTCATTTGCAGCAACTGGGACTGATCCAGAGACATCAATGAAATCATCCACTGGAAGGAACCTCAGAGGATTAGTAAGACCTTTTCCCATCTGTGATGTCAATGTACAAAAATCTGTCAGCTCGATTGTTTTGCTGCAAAGTCCTGACATGTGAGATGTTGAGGCTTATTTGATTCAGCAAGCTGGGGCACATG